CCGGGCAGGGCTGCGAGGTTTCTCACTACTTCTTACGCTGCAGGACACCCCCTCTCCCTCCAAGGGCCTCTGAACACCCAGCCGCGCTACGAGCTTTTTTTTTTGACAGCCCTCATCCCACGTGTGCTGTGTGCGTGTCTGCTCCTCCCACGGGCGCACCGGTTCCAGCAGAGCGAGGGCCTCGTTTGCTCGCCCTGCGTCCTGGCACCTAGAGTGGTGTGGGCCGCACAGCTGGTGTCCAGTGTTTGTTGGCTGCCTGAGTGATGGCGTGTGGATTTCAGGGAGGAAGAATGAGCTGGATAAAGGATAAACGTGAATCGCCTTGGACATACTCACAGCTTGAGTAGGATGGATTGGACAGGCACACTGCTGAGTGGTGTACGGACACACATAGATGCCCATGTGTCCATGTGTGTGCAGGTGTGTGCATGTGTGTGTGTCTGTGAAGGACGTGCATGTGCACACACACCAGACGGCGGTACGGGAAGCGAGGTATTCCATCAGCGCGGCCCAGGCCGGGGACCTCGGCCGCTGGGCGGGAGGAGGGGACTGTGGAGGGGACCGTGGAGCGGGGAGCCGCGTGCTGCCTTAGAAACGCGAGTGCCGGCCGGAGCTGCCAGCAGGAAGGAGGCGGCAGGACACCTGTCCTTTGCCGACGCCCTCCCGCCTTGCTGCCCTGGGACTGCTCCCCGGCCGCTGCCTGATGGTGTCAGGGACGGGCACCTGGGCGCCTTGGTGGCCGGGAGACCGTGACAGAGCCGGCGAGCCTGTGGGCTGTGGCCATGTGGGCACTGCTCCTGGGTCTCCGTCCCGCGCGGACCAGGGATGCCAGGGAGGCCCTGAAGCCCCCGCTCTCTGTAGGGCTGAGTGGGGAGGCGCTGAGACCACGGGGCTGGTGGAGGGGGTGGCGTGCGGATGCCTCCCGGAGGCGCAGAACAAAACCACTCACGGGGGCTGCTCCACGGGGGGCGTCCAGAGCTTCCCGTCGGACCCCGTGTGTCCAGCCAGCCCCAGGGTCAGCTTGTCCCAGAACCCAGGCCGCCCAGCGGCAGGGAGGTGCGGGACAGGAGGGCCCTGTCCTTGGGGAGCCACAGTGGGGAATCACGTGTTTCTCCAGGAAAACCCGCAGTTTTTCACCTGGATCCCATATACTAAGGAACAACAACAACTCAGCGCTGACCTACTCAGTTAAAGTCCAAATACGCGTTAAGGCAAATATAAGTGCCTCAGGCGAGAATTTTATCTTTTACTCTTTGATTTTTAAAAGCTTGAATTTAAATATGTTGTTCATATATTTAAATTTATAATCTTCACTCCAAAAAATAGAACCGATAAATTACGTTTCACAGCAAAGCAGTGACAGAAAGCCGCCTGCGTTTTTTATAGCCGTCAGTGATACTTCATGTGCACTGGCATTTGGAAATAATTTTTCACTCCTAAATAGTAAATTTGTTTTGCACCAGATCACAGAGGAACTACTTATGTAGTTTAAGTATTGGTTCAGCAAAGTTTATGAGGAGTTTGCTGGGCTGTGGTTTCCTGAGTTCGGTTCTGCAAGCATCTCTTCCACGTCTGCCGTGAACAGCGTGTGCTCTGCGGGCGCAGAGGTGAGCTGACGCTCTCCTGGTCCCAGCGGAAGATCGGACGGTGTCCGCACGGAGCCTCTTGAGGGCCGGCAGGAGCTAGGTGTCCCGGAGCCGCGGGCAGATGAGGACCCACCTCCGAGCAGGGGCTCGGGAGTGGCCGACAGAGAGGAGGGATTCCGAGCGAGCCTCTGCCGGCGTGAAGGCGGGGTGCCCTTTCCTGGCTGCGAGGAGCAAGGCCAAGGGGCGCAGAGCGCAGGGTCAAAGCAGGAAGGGAGACGCCCGTCTGCCCCCGCTGCGCGGGAACCGAGGGGTGGATGCAGGAAGCTGCCGGCGAGTCCGGTTTCCGGAGGGCGGAATTCCTGCCGTGCGCCTCTGTGACGGCTGCCACTGTGCTCACCTGCGGACGACGGCCCTGGAAGGGCCCACAAGGGGCTGCCTTCGCAGTGCAGCTGAGGAACGACGAGGGCGGCGGGAGTGGGAGGGAGCGGAAGAGGCACCCGCCCCCTCGGTCTCCCCGGAAGGAGGAGGGGGAGGGAAGCCGCCTGTGACCTCGCATCAGCTTCCGACGAATGTTCCAGAACAGATGCTCCAGCACCGAGTGAGGTCCCGCTTAAAGAGACCCTCGCGCTGTGGTGACCGAGCGGGGGCTCTCCCGGGACGTCCACCGCGCGCCTGTAACGGGGCAGCGGGGCGGCAGTGCCCTGGCCCTCCAGTCTCCGGTGTCGGTGTCCGACGCCCCGTTGCGCCGCCGTGGGCTGCCCGGGCCCCTGCAGCCGCAGTGGGTGTAACGGATGAAGAGGGGGCTCTGCCGGGGCCTGGTGCTCGGGGAGGGGCCGCAGGGCACGCGAGTGGATCTCTCTCAAAGCGAAACAGCTGGACGAGTTTGGGCCTTGGGGGTGGCTGGGCTGGGCCGGACTCAAGGGGCACTTGTGTGTTTCCTTGGTCACATTCCACTCTCACAGCGGTTTGTGGGCGACGGTCACGTCCAAACCAGAATGTCTGCGATTCCTCAGCGATCTCTGTGGCTTCATCTGCTTTCACCCAGCGGCGCAGCTACCAAGGCGATCCATCAGCACCCCCTCGTCTCTGCCCGGGGACGTGACGTCCATCGGTCGTCCCTCCCTCTGAGCGGCGCGGCGCAGCAGGCGACTTCACGGTCGGCCTGTCCTGTTCTCACTTGAACTCACTTCCTGGGACCTCCGCTCCCCCCCGCCCCCCGGCCGTACTCCTGCCGCCCGCCAGGCCGGCCGCCTGTGACCGGGCTCGACTTTCGTCTCCCAGCTCAGACACACTTAGCTTTTTAAAAGGTTTTACCTATCTTTAGAGAGAGGGGAAGGGAGGGAGAAAGGGGGAGAGAAACATCCGTGTGGCTGCCTCTCAAGTGCCCCCTGCTGGGGACCTGGCCCGCGGCCCAGGCCTGTGCCCTGACTGGGAGTTGAACCAGCGACCCTTTGGTTCACAGGCCGGCGCTCACTCCACTGAGCCACACCAGCTGGGGCCCAGTTCGGACACTTTTGACATGAGTTTCCAGTAACCCAGGGTGTTTGTTAAGTCCCCTGAGATTGCAGACAAGTTGGTGTGTCTTTTGTGAGAACAACGGACCTGTGGTGAAACCAGTTTTCATCCTGGGCCGTGAGCCGGGAAACAGCCAGGAACCACGGGCAACCTGGAATCTCTGTCAACCCTGCGGCTGCTCCTGCTCCCGCCAGCTCTGCCGCGCCCCCTCTGGGGTGATGCCTGTGGCCAGCTGGCCGGCTGCATCCGGGTGACCCTGGCCCCGGCAGAGGCACCTCAGCCCCGCACAGGCCAGCGGTTCCCGCCCGGACCCGAGATGGGGTCGGCCAGGTTCTCACGCGGCTCAGAAGGCCACTAGCCGCCTCGTGGGCTCAGGCGCCTCCTGAACCGTTGTGTGCCCTTGATCGAAAGCCCTCGCAGTCCCGCTGTGCGCCGGAAGGCGCTGGCCCCACTGTGCAGGCGGGAGGCTGAGGCACAGGCGTCGGAGCAACTTGCTCGCCGTGGTTGGGGTGCCGGGGCTTCAGAGCCGGGCGGCAAGGGGCCCCGGGGCCGGGAACAAGCGAGTGCCGCCTCCCGTCTCCCGGAGGGAGGGGGCAGGGCTCCGACCGGCGTGAGGGCCTCCCCCAGTCACGTGCTCAGGACACCCGTTTGCCGCCTCCCACACCCGGGGGCCCAGCCTTGACGATGACCGTGACGTGGACCCTGGGTGCCGTCACCCCTCCTCCTCTGGTGCTCATGCTAGCGGGTCAGGCTCCTATTCCAGGGGGAGGCAGGTGGCACAGCCCGAGAGAGAGGCCAGCGCGGGTTCTTTCCCGAGAGTGCCCCCCGTTCTCCTCCCGCATGGCTTTGTTCCCCCGCACGGTCCGCAGCCTGGTGGGAGACGAGGTGCCCTTCCGCTGAGATAGGGCCCTGCCCCCCGTGCCACCCCCGCCCCGGTCTCAGGAGGCCATGGAGCCGCCCCGGGAGGACGGGGGCCCCTCGGCCGCCTGGCTGCTCCCAGACGTCTCCTTCCGCCTTGTCAGGTCCAGATGCACCTGGGTATTGGGGGCCCAGGGCCACCCAGGCCACACGGCTGTGAGGGGCATCAGGGTCTCACAGCAGCGGCTCGTGCAGGGAAGTCAGGCCACTGCAGGGGCGTCCGCCTCGTGGCGTCTCTGGGCCCCACTGGAAGAAGAGTTGTCTTGGGCCACACAATAAATATGTCACAACAGGTAATCTCAAAAATCGCATCACTTCTAGGTAAATTTACGATTTCGTATTGGGCCACATTCACAGCCACCTTGGGCCGCATGCGGCCCGATGCGGGGGGGGGTGGGACCCCCCTGCAGGAGAGGGTAGGGGCCGTCCAGGATCCCAGGGCAGCAGTGAAGGGCCCTCCCACCCCCAGCACCCTGTCCCTTTGTTGATCTTTCTCGCATTGGGTAGGTTTTGAATGGAACTGGACTCTTCCCGTGAGCTGACAAATGGCAAAATGGTCACCGCACGGCCAGGGAAGGAAGCCCTGTTGTTCAGTCCTGCACAACCCAGGACCCAGGAGACAGCCCGCGGGGGTGGGGGCTGGACATGCGGGGACGCCTCAGGGTCCTTCGGGGCCGGACGCCCCTCCATGACGCGCTGGGCCCCAGAACAGCACCTGGGTGAGGCCTGCAAACGCGTGGGAGGGCGCGCGGGGGCTGCCTGTTGGCCTGGCGGCGTCTCTAACTGGCGCAGCGTCAGGTGGGGAGGCGCTGAGAGCTGCAGCCAAGCCTCACCCGCAAACCGCAGCCTGGGGACGGCGCCGCGGGGAACGCCGAGCCCCTGGGGCCACGCCTGGGAGGGGCCACGCCCGGGAGGGGCCCCGTGGCCTGTCCCGGGGGTCGCAAAGAAAGAACGCAGGCACAGGGAGCACGCGGCACTTGCCTCTCGGATGAGGCTCATGAACCGGGGTCCGAGGCGCCAGGGCTTGTGTCGGTGGCACTGCAGCGAGCTGACGGCCAGCTGGGGCGCCCGGTGCGCGGCGAGGGCCACCGCGTGCACCGCATCGAACATCAGCGCCGCCTCCGTCTGCAGAGACACAGCGCGGTTTCAGCCCGCGCCCGGCCCGGGCCCGCCGCCCCTCGCCCCCGCCGCCCCTCGCCCCCGCCTCCCCTCGCCCCTGCCTCCCCTCGGGCCCCAGCAGCCGCTTGGGCGGCTCCCCCCCCGCCGCCCCCCAGCGGGTACTTTTCTCTGAAAGGCTGTCGCGCTCCAGGGTCAGCTCTGATTTGTTTTCACTTCTTAAAAAAGTGCAACTCACAGCAGCCACCAAAGGCCTGATGCGGGGGACAAATGTTTCCAGCGCCTTCTGCGTTAAGCCTGGTGCTAAACGGGGCACTAAACTGAGTTAGGACGCGCCCAGTGCTCCGGCATCAGGGTTCCTGTCTGAGCATCGCTCTGCTTCTCACCCACCTGCCTGCCTGGGGCGGTTGGTGCGGTAGCTGCTGGCAGAGGCACCGGCAGGTGGCTTTCAGGCGAGTGTCCTCTGCCGGCCCGGGAGGCTCTCATTACGGAACCGAAGTCAACAGCAGGGGCAGGGGGGCGGGGCGGGGAGGCGGGGAGCCCTCAAAGGCCAGGCGCGTGGGGCACACGGGGCTGGCGTCCCCTCAGAACCCGCTGCCCGACCGAGGCTGCGGGGCCGCTGTCCTTCTGGGGCTGGGCCCCCCCCGCAGCCCCCGCGCCATCTCTCTCCCTGCAAACATTCGTGCCAACACTCAGCACTTTTATACACTCTGCTGCCCTGAGGTTTTCTTTAAGGATAAAATTTTATAACACCTTCACATTTTACTCAGGGCTTTTCATAGCCCCTTGAAATGTATTAGCTCATTTGAAATCCCAAGATCCCCAGCACAAGACGTCAGAAGGGGCAGAGAACGCTCTGAGTTCGGCAGGAAAGGTGGCCTCCGCAGGGTGCCTGGCTCTGTGGAGGGTCACACGAGGGCCAACAATGAGAACGAAACCGAGGATCTGGGTCACAGAACGAAGATCCTCAGGTGACTCTGAAACGGGCCGGTCCATTCGACACTCACCGCGCGTCTGACGGGCACGCGGTGGCGGAGTTGGGGAGGAGCGGAGGGCGGCCCTGGCTTCCAGGCCGTGGCCCGGGCCTGGGGAGGGTCTCTGCTCCGCGTCCTCATCCTGGGCGATTTCCGTCATTGCCCATGTCGTATACACGCTTGTGGTCATTCGTTTTTACATCTCTTTCACGCTAAGGATGTAGGTTTCTTGGCAGGTTCCTGGCTACAGTTTGGCAAAACAGCTCTGTGTCCGAGCAGCCTCGCCTGCCGTGTGGTTGAGTGTAATTGAATCTGTCGAGTTGCATTGGGAAGCGTCGTTGTGCAGACTCACAGAGGAGCGAGAGGGACCGGAGAGGCCGAGCTACTCACTCAGGCTGTCCAGCTGCTCGGGGCCCCGGCCAGGACTGAGGGCTGGGCGCCCTGATCCTGAATGACCCTGCTTGACCCCTGCGTGGCGCGGCTGTTGCATTTCGCCATAGGATAATCTGGGACACTCGCCGGCGTCTTCCTGTGAGTCAGGGTCTCAGTAAGTGCTCCCACGTGAGACTCCTTCACGTTCGGAGGCACTCGAAGGGCGGGGAAGGCGGGTGACAGGCAGATGCTGTGCTGCGCCCCCGGCTCCTGTGCAGCGTTGAGTCACACGTGGTCCGGGCCACAGCCGGAGCGGGGCCCCTGCCTCACCCCGCTCTGTCCAGAGCCGGTGGGTCGAGCCAGTCCATGGAGCGGGAGGGACTGCCCTTTTGGTTTTTGCCTGCAGAAGGTATTAGATGCCATAGACTTACACATTTTTTAGTGGTAGTAGTAAGCATGTAATACAGATTCATGAAGAGAATAAATGACGTGTAAAATAATGTCGATGTCGACAGGCACACATGGGTCCAGAGAGATTGTGGCTCCCTATGATTATTCTTTAAAAAACTAAAACTATTAAAAAATAAAAATACAACGTCGACATACAATAGCGTGTTAGTTTCACCTGTGAAACCACCTCACAGAGCGATCGCGTGCGTCTCGGAGCCGCCTGCCATCTCAGCCAGTCTCACGGTGCTGTCGCCAGGCACTGTTTGCGGGGCGCCCCCCCCCCCCCCGCCCCCGTGGTTTGCTTGGCACCTCTCCCTGACGACTAGTGACGCCGAGCGCTTTCCCGCATGGCTGTGGGCCATCTCTGTGTCGTCTTTGCAGAAGTGTCTATTCAGGGTCTATGGCCATTTTTTAACTGGATTGTTTGATTTTTTTTACTGTTCAGTTTTGTGAGTTCTTTGTGTGTTTTGGATATTAGCCCCTTATTGGATTTATCATTAGCAAATATCTTCTTCCATTCAGTAGGCTGCCTTTAGGTTTTGTTGAGATTCCTTTGCTATGAAAAATATTTGTAGTTTGACATTGTCCCATTAATTTATTTTGTGGCTTTTGTGGCTTTTGCCCTTGGAGACAAATGCAAAAAAAAAAAGAAAAGAAAATTACTGCTACTGGTGATGTCCGAGTATTCACTTCCTATACTTTCTTCTTGAAGTTTTATGGTTTCAGGTCTTACGTTTAAGTCTTTAATCCATTTTGAGTTTATTTTTATAAATGGTGTAACAACGCAGTCTAATTCCAGTCTTCGCCTTATTTGCCAGCCTTCCCAGCACCGTCTGTCGAGGAGACTCTCCCTCTTGCGCACTCTTGCCTCCTTTGCCGTAGAGCGGTTCTCCCTGTCGGTGCAGGGCTGAGGCGCGGCTCTCAGTCTGTTCCATTGGTCCGTGTGCCTCTTTTATGACAGGACCATGCTGTTTTGATGATTGCATATTTGTAGTATAGTTTGAAATCAGGGAGCACAATACCTCCCACTTTGCTCTTTCTCAAGATTGCTTTTGCTGTTCAGAGTTTTTTGTGGTTCTACATAAAATTTAGATTTCTTTCTAGTTTGGGGGAAAAATGCAGCCGGTATTTTGATAGGGATTACACTGAATCTGTAGCTAGTGTGGACATTTTAGGGATAAGAATTCTTTCGATCCATGACCACGGGATAGCCCTCCACCTATTTACGTCTTCAGCTTTGTTTGCCTTGTCGTATAGGTTTTGGGGTGCAGGTGTTTCACCTCCGTGGTTTAATTTATTCTTAGGTGTTTTATTCTTTTTGATGCAGTTGTAAATGGAATTGTTTTCTTCATTTCTCTTTCTGGGAATTTGTTATTAGTGTATAAAATTCAACAGATTTCTGAATATGAACTATGTCTCCTGCTACTTTACGGAGCCTACTAGCCCTCGTAGTTTGTGGTGGAGTCTTTGGGGTTTAACAGAGGCGGCATCATGCTGTGAGCCCCCTGGGACAGTCTTCCGTCTTCCTTTGCAGTCTGGATCCTCTGACTCCTGTTTCCTGCCCAGCTGCTGTGGCCGGGACTGTGCTGAATACGAGAGGCACGACTGGGCCCACCCTAGAGAAGAGGGTTTCCGCTCGTCACCGTCGAGTGTGACATCAGCGGCGGGTTTGTCATACGTGGTCTCTATTATATGAGATACGGTCCCTCTGTGCCCACTTTGTTGAGTGTTTATTGGAAAAAGGATGTTGAATTTTGTCAAATGCTCTTTCCCCCTGCGTTTGTTGAGATGATCATATAATTTTTCTTCTTCATTGTGTTTGTGTGGCCTGTCATGCTGATTGATTTGCAGACACTAAGTCATTCTTTCCTCCCTGGAATAAACCCTACTTGATCATGATGTACGATCTATGTAATGTGTTGCTAAATTAGCTTTGCTAATATTTTGTTGAGGATTTTTACCTCTGTGTTTATCAGGAAATTGGTCTACGTATTTTTTTTCTTTCTAGCGTCTGGTTTGGTATCAGGGTACTGGCAGCCTTATAGAGTGAATTTGGATACTTTCCTTCCTCTTCAATTTTTGGAAATAGTTTAAGAGGAATAAATAATATTTTTTGACTGTGCGGTGGAACACCTGTGAGGCCTTCTGGTCTTGGACTTTTGTTTGTTGGGCATTGTTACTGCCTCAATTTTGTTACTAGTCATCGGCTGCTTTAGGGATTTTCCGTTTCTTCCTAAGACAGTCCTGGGAGAGTGTGTATTTCCAGGGACTTGACTGTTTCCTCTTGGTCGCCCGGCTGGGGGCCTGTCACCGTTCCCCGTGTTCTTGTGGGGCCCTCTGGGTCCCGTGGGGCTGGGGGTCGCCTCCCCCTCCCGTTTCTGAGTTTGTTTATTTACGAGTCCTTCTCTCTTTTGTTCTTGTTGAGTCTGGCTCAAGGTTCCTCGACTTGGGTCATCTTTTCAGAGAGACAGCTTTTAGTTTAACTGATCTTTTTATTGTTTTTTAGTCTTTATTTCTGCCCTGATTTTTATTGTATCCTTTTTTTCAACTCACTTTTGGGTTTTTAAGGTTACTTTGAGTAGGGGGTTAAACTCTTTATTTACATTTTTCTTGTTTTGTGGGGTAGGCTCGCATCACTGAATTTCCCTCTCAGAACTGTTTTTGTTTTTTGTCCAATAGATTTTGGATCATTGGTTTTCATTTCAGTTAGTTTCAAGAAGTTTTGCCTTTGATTTCTGCATTATCCATCGATGACTCAGTAGTAGCCTGCTGTTTCAGCCTCGATGTGTTCGTGTTTTCTTCCAGTTTTGTTCTCATAATCGATTCCTAGTCGCCTCGCGTTGCGATCGGAGAAGATGCCTGGCATGATTCCAGTCGTCGTAGGTTCACAGAGACTCGCTCTGTGGCCTGACGCCCGATCGGCCCGCCTGAAGAGCACGTGGACGCCCGCGTGGACGCAGGGCCGGGAGCGCTCCCGGGGCTCGCCGTTCGTCCGCTGGCCGCCCTCGTGCTTGCCTTTCAGCCTCCCCGGGGGTCCCTCCCGCCGCGGCCGGCCCTCGCCCGGGGCCGCTGGCAGGGTCCGTCCCTGAGCTCCGCCGGCAGGGCCGGCGTGCGCTGGGCCCCGCGTCCCGCCCTTCGCTGGGGAGCTGCGTCGCCGTGTCCTGACGCGGCTGCTGTGCCCGCTCTTACGGGGCCCGGTAAGCACCCTCTTCTCTCCTGACAGGCCCAGCTCCCTCTTTGTGGTTTGTAATTGTGACAGTAAGAGCAGCGCCAGAGCCCAAGGACCCCTCTCTTAGGCGAGGCGACTGGAACTTGCTCTGGGCCGAACGGGACTCTCCACCCACAGGGACCCCGGGACTTGGCTCTGCCAGACTCCCTGCCCAGGGAACAGCCGTGCGCCCCGGTGGCCTCCAGCAGCCCCGGCCCAGGCCGCCCTGAGTCCGGCGAGCAGTGCGGGCTCGTCCCCCGCCCAGTGGTCTCCTCGTTCCGTCAGCTCGGCGCGTGCTTTTGTGGGCGGGGGGCGGGGGGGGGGGGTTAAGCCACATCTGTGATGGATGTTTCACGTTTGGCGCGAACCCACACCTGCGCGGGGGTCCCTGCCCAGGGCAGGTGGAACTGCTTTTGCTTTTATCCTGTGACAGACATGTTTCAGGGAGTTGGGGGCGGGGCAGAGGGGTTTGAAACATATTTGAATTCATTGGAATCACATCTGAGAGATGAGAAAGCGCCCATACCCCTCCCCCCGACTGTCCTGCCCCCCCGAGTCTAGCATTTCCTGGACAGTCTGCCTGCTCCCGCCCACGGAGATGCCCCCCCCCTCCCCCCGTCACCCAGGGCTTGGTGGCACGTGCTTTCCCTCCTTGTCTCTCAGGTCCCTCTGCGGACAGTCATCTCGGGTTTGACAAACAGCCCGGGGCCCAGAGCGTGGGGCTGTCCGGAGCCACTTCGTTCCCTCATTTGTCTCCTCTTTTAATTTGTTCCTCATTTTTAAAAAAAGTAGGAAAAAACCGCCAGCTCATTTCTGTGGGAGGTGTGTTCCCGTTACCAGTAAACGGTGTCTGAGGGCGAGGGCGCCTCCGCGCGGCGGGAACAGGGAATGAAACGCGGGCCGACCGGAAACGCCGTCGCCCGCCCGCACCCCGGCCCCTTCCCTAGAGGACGCTGCTCCCGCACGGGAAGCTTTTAAGAAAGTCCCTGCCATTTCTTCATGACGCAGGGCCTTCCGTTAGAGTAGCCGCCGAGGGCGCGTGACAGCAAGCGACGTACGCTGCCGGTGAGAGGCTGCAGACGGAGCGCTCCCGGCGGGCGGGCCGGCGCCTGCCAGGGTGACAGACGGTGGCCGGGGAGCCCCCGTGTCGGGCGGGGGCGGGGCCCCTCACCGAGCGCAGCTCTGGCGTTCTCCACGCGCTGCCCCCGCGCTGGGCCGGCGGGAGCCCGCGGCAGGCAGCCCTGCTCGCGGTGCCGGGCGGCGCCCTGTCCCTGCCGCCCTCCCTCCCGAGGCCGCTCTGCCCGCGGCCTGATCGGTCTCCGCCTTGTGCCCGTCGGGCGATCGCTGCGGCCACTCTGGTGATTTTCGCGCGAGACCAGCGCCGTCCGAAGGCCAGAAACAGCGGGTTCGCCCTAGTCACGTGCAGGCTTTCGGGAACCCGAGGCCCCCCCCACCCCCGGCCCCCGACCTGGGCTCAGCACGTCGGGCTTCATCTCACGTCCCGAAAGCACATGGGGCTCTTTGCCCGCCCCCATCCGTGACCCCGAAGCCGCTCACCGTCATCGCGCCGTCCAGCAGGCCGACCTCGGGCCGGGGGGGCGCCTGCAGCCGCTCCAGGGACCACCGCGCGGCGACAGCGGCCACCTGCGGGTCGTCCGCGTTGAGCAGCCGGAAGCCGGTCACGTTGACGCCGCTGTGCCTGTACAGCCCCAGGTCCAGGGTGAACAGGTCCTGCGCGGGAGGAGGGCGCAGGGCGGGTGGAGTCAACTGGCGCGCTCCTCGTGGGGGAGCCAGCGAGCCACGGCCGATCCGCGCCCTGGCGGGGGCCACCGCACCGTCCCTGTCCCCCCACCCCCCGCCAGGTCCCGGACACGCGCAGGCGGAGCGGTTCCTGCCTTCGTGTCTTCACCGACCCAGTGCAGCTGCCAGGTTCGCGTGAACCCGGAGGAGCTTGGCCGCTGGCGGGCGATTCGGCCGAGAGGCTCGCGATTCAGACGAGAGGCTCGCGGGCTCTGCCTTGGGGACAAAGCCTGGGGGGGGGGCGCGGTGGCAGGGCCCTGTGACCATCGGGCTCAACGCTCCTATTAGTAAGGAAGCTGGTTCTGAGCGCGATGTCCCCCCCCCCCCCCCGCCGCGCAGTCCGTGCGTCAGGGCGGTGCCGACACCTGTCGGCCCGTGCTGCTGCCCCACAGCCCGCAGGGGGGTGTGGGGACCGCGTGTCCTCGGGCAGGGGGATGCCTTCGCAGGAAATAATGGCGCCCCCGAAAAGCAGCGCACCCCACTCAGCCAGGGCCTGAAGGAGGCTTGCCGGGCGTTGCTCAGAATCGGAGCCGCGGGGCTCTCTCAGGGACTAGGTGGGAGCAGCCAGTGCCTTCGGGGTGGGCCTCGCTCCGGTGGGCCAGTCCCGCTCAGTGGGCCGGGAAGGAGCTGAGCCCACCCGGCGTGTGCCAGGTGGCGCGGGCGGCGCAGAGAGCAGGGCGTGCGCGTCCACAGTTAAGTGGACACAGGCAATAACGTCGCCCTGTTGCTTACAGAGGAAGGCTGCGCCACAAGCTGAATGATTAAAATCGCATTGCCCACTTAAGTATGAACCAAACTTTCAAAGGGTCATTTTGCAGGAAAGAAAAACCATCATAAACGCCTCCTAATAGTGCTCGGAACTGGGTCGTGGAGGCGTAGCCCTGGCCACGGCTTGGGGAGCCTCTGTACAGAAGCCGCCGTGCGTGGGAAGCCGTTGAGGACCCGTGTTCCCCGAAGATGCACCCAGCCTGTTCTGAGCGACCCCAGCCCTGCCTTTCCTGGCAAACTTTGGATTCCACGGCAGAAGCCTAAGAGCTCAGCTCTGTGCACCCAGCTCAGTGTCAGAAAAAAGTGTCCTGCTTTTAAAATGTATTTCCCCCTTGCACTGTGTAATTTTCTTTTTTCTTCAGTTTTCTTAATACTCATGGGGAAAGGCAGAATTCAGATAAAACCAAAGGGAAATGCATGATAAGCACATTCGCAGCATGTACCCCGACAACCAGTGGTCGGCTCCTATATCACACTCAGTCAACGGAAGGAAAGGAACTCCGGCCGCAGGAGGTCGCGCAGGAGGTCGCGCAGGACGTCCCAGGCGCCAGTCGCGACCCTCGTGGATCCAACACCAGCAGCTGCAGGTGCTAACACGCGCACACCTCCGAACAGGTGCAAAGCCAGGTGGCCCGCGTCCGAGGCCTCTGTGTCTGGAGAGTGTAGGGGGCCCAGCCCGGCCCCTGACCCCTGTGGGCGAGGACAGCCCACTCTGCCCCCTCAGCGTCTGCACTGAGGCCCCGCCTTCCTGGCTTCCACTGTCTACATCCTTCAAATTTCAACAAAACCTGCTCTCAGGGGTGAGCCCCACTGGGGCAACAGAACAGAACAGAAAGTCCAGGGCCGGGGTCAGACCCAGGTGTTCACCACGGGGGAAGTGCTGGACCCGTGAACAGAGGGACGCGGCGTTCAGGGTCCCCTTGAGCCTCCTGGCTGAGGACAGACCAGGAAGGGCGTCCCCGGGGCAGGGCACAGAAACAAACTCGATTTCAGACCCCTGTCCTGGGTGTCGCCCAAGCTCAGAGTGGCCTGACTGGCCGGTGCCCGCGGGCGCCAGGCCCCCTCCGCCCCTCCCGACCTCCAGCATTCCTGAGTCAGGCGCACGTGGGTGGCAGCTGCTGGTCCTTGTTCCAGACTCCTCCCCCTCCCTCACCAGGCCACCTGGCCAGTTTTGTCTGGTTAAAAAAAAAGGCTCTTACTGAATCTCCTGGCATTTGAGCAGACTTGAGCCGATGCAGCTTTATAGCCAGAAAGGGAGATTGGCTTTGTGTTTTCATGTAAGAAAGGGGGGGGTGTTGGGAGGGTGGGGGTGGTGGCTGCGTGGCTGAGTTCTGAGACTGACTGAGAGGTAGCACATCATTTTGATGTGTTAAATGCCCTGAATCATTCTCCCCTGATCTGGTAATCTCTCAAAACTTAAGGTGTTACAGTTTTCTTCTTTTTTAAAATTTCTGTCTTAGAGTTATGATTTTTCTTAGGTGCAAAGTGTTCAATATGCAAAGCATCTCGCAAGCTGCTGTTTTTAACAGTCTTCAAAACACCTGGCAGGTGACCCCTGCCTCACCCAGCCACCTGCCGGACGGAGGTGGGGAACCGCATCCGGTCACGGGACCCGTGGCACAGTCCAGGGACCCGCCATGTCTGTGGAAAGTGCCGACGGTGCTTGTCTATGGAGAGTTTGCACTTTGACAGTTTCTGTTTCATTTTTAATCCCTTCCTGGATGCCCAAGCACTGATGCTAGTTAAAAACAAAAAGAAAGAGAAAGAAACCTGCTTTGCTGCATTTCTGAATTTAGAGGTTCTTGGAAAAGTAACTCAAGTCTCCATGACAACGTCCTGCCTTGGGCCCCATGGACCTGACTTTGAGGACCTGGAGCCGTCTCCTCTCACAGGGCCGATTCCGCTGTGCGCACTTACCAGGGTTGTGAAAAAGTAGTGGTAGTACTCAGTCATCATGCCCATGAACAGGATCTGCCAAAGAGAAATGAGGGGAAGGAATCAGAAACAGGATCCTGCCGAGAAATCCTCGATGAGCAGGGCGACCGCCAGAGTTGGGAAACAGAAAACCAAGGAGCGCTGGGGTCCGTGCCCGCAGCCAAGGCGCCCAGCTCACTCCACGGCTGCGGTGGCCCGAACCCGCCCCCGACCGCCCCCACCACGCTGGTTTGACCCGGAGGAAGTAACTGCGCTGATGATCAAAATTAAAAACTCTGCTGAACCAGTTTCATACGTGTCAGCACCGCCACGGCACGGGGCCGCCGCCCCGCCCTGGGTTTCAGAGCGACCCCTCTGCTCACCGGCCCCCTCACAGCAGAGCTCATCATGACGCCTCGGAGCGGAGCTCGTTGCAGGCTGGGGCAGCTACGCCGGCACCAGGTGTTCTTCAGCGAGCGTCTGTGAGCGGCGTGTCTCTGGAACACTCCCCCCCTCCCCCCCCTTATCCCACAGAGTGAGCAGAGGATTTGTGTACAGGTGGGGGGCATGTTCTCACACACATTTCCCACGGCCCCTCTCTGAGTCACGCGGCCTCCTTGGCACCTGCCAGCTGCAGGCGTGCTGCGTCTTCTCTGTACCTGGTGAGGGCGGGGAGGTGGCCAGGGCGGGGGAGGGGCGGTGTGGGTTCTCTGCCCAGGTTATTTTCTAAATCGTCGTCTTCCTTTGGGATTTCTGGACGTGGTGTCCACGGAGAAGAGGAGGCTGCAGAAGGTCTGGAGATCAACTATTGTTTCTAAGCCCTCTGAATCACTGCGATCCCCCTCCTACGGCCAGACCCCTAGGACGAAGGTGTGAAGGCCGCACGTTGGTCTTTGTGTAGAAATGAGTGGGGAAGACTTGGCATCAGACCCCCAAGGCGCACCTCCCCACAACCCAGATGCGGGTGAGCCCCAGCCCTGGGCTCGGAGCCCCGCGCTCTGCGCTCCCCTGCCAGGTCCTGGCCAGAGCCTCTGAGTGTGGAGCCTGCACTTTGCAGTTCAAAGCAATGGGGGGAATTGCTGTTCTATGGGAAACACCCGTTCACATTCAAAAATAAAGATTTCTATTACTGCAGGCGTCAAGAGGGATCAGAAAGGCTGGGAAGAGGCAACCTAGTCATAAGAGGTGCTGGGAGGTGCCCAGGATACGGAACAAGAATAATTGACAAGCCGTGGCTCAGTGGAGTGAGTGCAGGCCTTGAACAGAAAGGTCGTGGGTTTGACTCCTAGTCGGGGCACAGGCCTGGGCTGCAGGCCAGGTCCCCAGTGGGGGGCATGTGAGAGGCAACCACACATGGATGTGTTGCTCCCATTCCCTCCCTCCCCCTTCTCTAAAAATAAATAAAATATTTAAAAGATTTACAAGAGAGGGGATGAGGAAGGAAGAGGGCATCAGGGACAGCAGAGTGCACACCGTGCCCACTGCTTGCGCCCTCCGTGAATGTGGAACCAGAGGACTATCCACTGAAGCTGTATCGTCACGAAGGTGAGGGAGACGACCAGGAGCTCCCTGCGAGTCATGCGCCCGCGGTGAGGGGGTCACTCCTGCCGTGAGAGTGAGACGGGGTTCACGGCGGACGCTCCGCAGGGCAGGGCTGAGTCTGGGCACCGATCACGCTCAGGGCTGTGCGTGGTGAGGTCTTGTCAGCTGGTCCTCGGGGCCCTGGAGCCTGAAGACCTAACCTACAGGGTCAGCCAGCAGTCCGGTGTCTCTCCTGGGTCCTCAGGCGCCATCACTGCAGCCAGGACTCGCTCCTGAGAGGGAGCCGGGTAAGTTTTATGTCAAGATACAGAGCTGGGCACTGAGTTTTAAAATACTGTTTCTGGGGCCGAAGAAGAAACACAGAGGCACCTGAGCTTTCAGCTTCTCACCTGGGCTGATGTTTCTGAGAAAACATCACTAGGGAGGTGTCTGATCACCCAAGGAGGGCATAGGCTTTGAAAAAAAAATTGATATCATTATAGTGATACACAAAACAAAAAGTCCAAAACATGGCATCAAAAACATAAAGCGTGGAGGGAGAGTAAAAATGTAATCCTTGTAGAATTTGCACCTAAACATACCAGCTTAAAGTAAACTGCTATAGATACAGAACAATATATATAAACCTTATGGTCACAAACCAAAACTCTATGAGAGATACACAAAAAATAAAGAGGAAGGAACCCAACAGAACTCTAAGAAAAGCCAGCAAACCATAAAGGAGATCAATAGAAGAAAGGAACAGAGAAGAACTACAAAAACAATGAGCAAAAGGACAATAAGTACATATCTATCAGTAATTACTTTAAATGAATGAAATGCTCCAAGAAAAAGACATTGGGGGGCTGCATGGGTTAGGGAACACGTCCCGCCTGCGCACTGCTCACAGGAGACTCACTTCAAGGCAGAAGGTGCAGGGGTGGGGAGGCGCACGGCAGGCAGCTGGGAAGGAGGGGGCAGGGCAGCAACACTCGTGACAGACGGGACGAACTTGGAAAAGAAGAGTGTAAAAATAAGACACTGCGTAATGACACAGGGATCAGCCCGAGAGAAGGCTGTAACAAGCGTAAATGTCCTCACCCCTGGCCTGTGAGTACGGTAATGCAAGAAGCAATTATTAATAGATACAAAGACAGAGACTGACGGTCACACTGCAATAGCGGTGGATCTTACACTGTACTCACATCGATGGATAAATCACCCAGACAGAAAATTAATAATAAGATAATGACCTTAAGTGTCACACTGGACATTTATAGAAAATTACATTCAACAACTGGATAAAATTTCATTTCAAGTGCCCATGGGACATTCTCTAGGACAGACCACTCATTAGGGCACAAAACAAGCCTCAGTAAATTCAAGAGGATTGAAGTCAAATCTGGCATCCTCTCTGGCTACAGGGGCAGGAAACCGGAACGCAGGTATGGGAAGGGCACAAACGTGGAGACAGACAACATGCTACTGACAACCACGGCTCCAGGGGAGACCAAACAAGAAACCACAACCCACCTGGGACCAAAATGTGTGGGATGCGACTGAGTCAGTTCTAAGAGGAAGTTCATAGCTATACAGGCTCAAGAAGCAGTAAAAATCTCAAACTAGAAAAAACACAAAGAACCCGAAGTAAACGGAAGGAAGGAGATAAAGATCTGAGTGGAAATAAATGAATAGAAATTTAAGAAAACAATAGAAAAGATCAATGAAACTAAGAGCTGGTTCTTTGAAAAGATAAACAGAACTGATACACCTTTAGCCAAACTTGTCATGAAAGACAGCGACCGTGAGGAAATGAAAGCGTGAGTGAAAGAGAAGCTGCAGCCGACCCCGCGGAGACACAGGCTTGTCACAGGGCACTGCAGACAGACACACCCATGAACAGGGCGGCCTGGGAGCCGGGCGCGTTTTCAGAGGCATTCGGCGTTCCAAGACGGAACCCGGAGGAGAGAGTCCAGCGGACCGGCGGCCGGCTGTGGCACGGGGCAGCCATCAAAGCGCTCCGGAGCGCAGCCAGGGCAGGCAGCCTTGCCGGCGACGGAGGCATTGGTGCTTTTTGAAAAAGCGGCCATTCAACTCATTATTTTTATCAGTATTTTCTTGTAGTACCGGAGGCAAACATTCACCTGATGTGCCTCTTATTTAATGTTACAGAGTGAAGAAGCTGCAGTGAGTGAACAGCTCACACATCTGCCACTTTCAGTGCAGAAAGGCCGCTTGTTGCTGCCGGTGCACTTTGTGTTTGGGGTGCCAGGCAACGCCGTCCGACAGTCCCACCTCATGCCTGTGCCTGTCACTCTGATCCTTCCCTTGAGTTTCCTGGACATGGACAAGTACCGCCACGGACCAGTGACCGGTCAGCCTGGATGCCTCTTGAGGACTCGCATGTGAGAAACTTCCAGAGAAAACTACCGCCAATGTCGCCACCGGGAGTGCCTTTTAAGCTCTGTCTGTCCGTGGGTCTGTGGACCGGAGCTCTGCCGTCGCGTCGCCATGCACTTTGCAGAGGCAAGTGCCACCGTCACATGGTGTGTGTTTGTTTCCTCTATGTTGGTTTCAACTATTCCCTGGGGCAGAGACCTGAGTGTGTTGTTTTCACCTGTTGCGTCTTCCCCTCCTCCACCCAGTGGCAGCAGGGGCGCGCGCTGAGTGAGAGGACAGATTTCTCTGCTGTGCATCCGCCCCCCTCCCCGTTGGGCCATGGCTTTGGATACAACCAGCATTTCTTGAGGATGTTTGCACTCGAAATGATCAGATGTTTGAGAGTGAAAAGGAACAACGGTAATTCACGAACTGCAAAGGTTAGCAATAAAACGCGTCCGGGTTCCATCACTGGGCGAGCCCGCTGACGTCTCGGAGCCCCTAACAGTGGCAGAGCAGGACATTTATTTTTCCTCTCAAACCCCAAGTTCAGTTCTGGACGCCCAGCCAGCCACTAGCAGGGCTGGGGACTTGGGGGTAGTTCCAGGATCTCCCCGGGCTCCGTCCGCTCCCTGAGGACAGAGCGTTCTCTGGGTTAGACGAGGGCGCGTTTCGCCTGCCCGGCAGCACGAGCCTGGCCTGTGTGGCTCCTTGTCCACGGCAGGCGGCTGCTAAGGCCTTCGGTCTCTGCTGCATGTTGCCGATTGGACAAGACGGGTCTGTAGATTGGACTCCGCCGGTGCAGGTCCAGGCACAGGCTTGGCGCCCCGTGCTTGGGAGGAGGATGAGTGGGCAGCGGCCTGAACACTCCTGGGGGGGCCCTGTACCCCCCACCCCGTGTGCCCCCCCCCCCAGCTGGGCTGGCGTGTAGGCAGGACTTGGATGAGGAGGGAGCTGTAGCACAAAAGGGCTCGGCTGGACAGCGCCCTGATTGCACTTCCTCGCAGAGGGAAGCCAGGCATGAAAACACACATTTCCTCCCTCGCCTGTTTTTATGTTAATGCAAAGAAAAGAAAAGAAAAAAAAAAAACCCCAAGAGAAAACGCCATATAATTCTACAAACTATCTTGGTGGGGAAATGTGGAGGCTGACGGCTCAGTTACAATGGGACGCGGGGGCGGGTCCCCTGTGCTCTTGTGAGCTGGGCTCGGCAGGGCGCTGGCAGAAGGAGTGGCGCAGGCTCGCCCACAGGCGCCCTGCGGCTCTGGGGCCCCCGGCCCCACGCCCTCCCCATCCGGACCGCAGGCCGGATCCGCCTGCTGCGCTCGAAGTTGCGACCTGCTTTCTCAGCCTCATTAAAAGATTTGGGAGCAACTAGCCATCCTCCCAAGAGGCAGATTTGTTTCCAGGAAGGAGAGTCGTAGACTCAAATGCATTCTAGTTCATAATACAGAGCGTCAAGGGTAGGATAAGGCTGTTCCTTGGAGGAAACTGAGGCACGGAGGAGTGACTTGCTGACGGGGGAGCTGGGGCCGGAGGAGCCGCCTGCCCAGGCCCCTGCACGGGCGTGGATCACGCTGCCCGACCAGGCTCCGCCCTCAGCGCAGCTCCGCCCGGGACGCCCGGGGCCGCGTGCAGGGCCGGTGGGCGCGGGGCGCGGCGGGGGGAGTGTGACGCAGAAGGCGCCTGCTCTCGGGGGGCCACGGGTCCGGGGGCGGGTCTCCCCTGGGCTGACACAGCAGCGAAGGAGGGACAGGTCACGGGGCGACCGGCCTCAGCTCCGGTTCCCTCAGGAGGCCCTGGTCAGGCTCGGCCAGGACGGGGGCTCTGGGCGCAGGCTACGGCGAGGGAGAGGCAGCGACGTGGGCACGGGGCGGGGTGTGGGGACCAGCGGGGTCCCGCGCGGAGAGGGGCCGGGGCAGGTCACGGGGCGCAGTGAACGCGGCCTCTGCGCTGCCGGTTGCACCTGCGCAGTGAAGGCAGGAGGCGCGCGGCCTGAGGGAGGGGCCGCCCTGACCCGCGCCCGCCAGGCGCCCCGCCAGCCGGAGCCGGGGGCCGAGGGGGAGGCCGCTCGGTGCGGATGAGCGGGGTCGGGGGCGGGGGGCACCGGGCGGCACCGAGGCTTCGGCAGGAGCCGCGGGGCGGGGTCCGCGTGTGGGGCGGGGGCGGGACGGAGGGCAGGGCAGCGGCCGAGGCACTCGGTTCCCACAGAGGCCCCGAGTCTCTGTAGGTTAATCAAGTCTTGACATTTGAATTCCCAGCTAATTTCTGGGAAATAACTTTCAGATCCTCATCATATCGTACTTGTTCAATATGAATAGAAATAATTACTTTGCGAGAGTGATTAGCACGCCCAAGAATAACTGCAGACTTCTTCCCAATTTTTGCTTTTAATGTCAAATATCTTTCTTAAAGTGGATCTGCTGTCTTTTTTTCCTTTAAGAATCATTAAAAAATTGTAAAATGCGACGAGGGTGTGGGAGATGCCGGGAAGCCAGAGGCAGCGCGCGCGAGAGAAGGCCACGCCCCGGCCAGACGCCCGGTGCCGCGCGGGTTCAGTCGCCGAAGGGAAGCACCACGGCCACCGATACCCGGGCGGCGGCGGCCTCCCCTGCCTGTCTGCTCCCACAGGGCCCCCAGGTCCGCGTGGCTGGGGGGCCGCGTGGCCTGCAGGCCGGCGGGCTGGCCCTTCGGAGCGGGCCTCGCACGTGGGCACCCGGCCTCTCGCCTCTGCCGCGAGGAGACCACAGGCAGCCCGGGGACGCGACCTCGTGGGAGCTGCTCTGCAGGGTCCCGGGGACCCGGCGGCCCCTCTGCGCCCTCGGTGAAGGCGGGGGCGCCTCCTGCTCTCCCTTCCCTCGGGTGGAAAGACGGGCTGCGGGGAGGCTGGAGTCAGGACCCTGCCGGCGCCCCGCCTGCCCAGAGGGCCCCGGGCGCACCTGGGCCCGGAAGTGCTCAGGAAGTTTCCTCCGCTGTGCTTGTTCCTAGTCTTAGCACCGCTAACACCTTCCAGTGCCTCACGCCCCACGATTTACCCAGCGCTGCCACCTACCTTACCCCCATTGTCCACGACAAGGTAGACGGAGGGGCCCCTTTGCCGGGGGCGGCCCCTCGGCTTGGAATCCTGCGTTTGACAGAAAAGCCCCCCCCCCCACACCCAGTGCCGGATCTCCTTGCGTTCCGATGCCGCAGGACCCCCGGCACCTCTGTAGCGGTGGGGGCTTCAGCGAAGACACCCGAACCCCGAGCCCTTGGGTGCCCAGAGGGGCCCGGGAAGCAGCGGTCCCCAGCCTCGCCGGCGGCCGCGGGGGCGCGGAGCGAAGCGCGACCCCCGCGTCCCTGAGGGAGGCCTGACACGTTGCCTCCGCGGCCCCACCGCGGCCCCTCACCTGCTTCAGGACCTCGGCGGCCGTCCGGTGGGAGCAGTCGAATATCACGTAGAACTCCCTGCCCTTCTTCATCTCCTTCAGCAAAGGCTTCGCGTCCTTATTCCCCGCCGGCAGCTGCCGGATTTTGATTTTAATGTTGTGTCTGGAGGGAGCTTTGATGAGCTCTTGCAGGCGAATCAGACCTAGAAAGTCCAGAGAATATTTGTTGAGCCCCATTTACAGTCACATCGCCCCCAAAGTGTACGGAGAGGCTGCCCCCTGAAGGTCACAGTGCGGACACCTCTCGCTTGTCAGGCTGGGTCCCGCGGCGCCGGCCGGGGTGGGTGACTGTGCTCTCCCCAGGCCGCTCTGAACTCGTGTGGATGAAACATCCTCTCCGGTTTGAAGCCACCACCTCCCATCTTAACAAATTGAGTCTGTACCTCAAAACTTCTATAAATAAGAAGTGGCTCAAAGTTTCTGCAGGTGCTTGATGACATAGATAACACCTGCTCCCTGAAAAGCTGCACTTTCTGAGGCTGTGAGCTCAGCAGGGCTTACGTCCGTCTGTCTGCCGACTGTTCGCCCACTGATTTGTGGGGCGGCTCCGCGCAATCTCCCAGCTCTCGCCCCGGAAACTACTGATCAAAGGCTCATTGTACCCCCTTTCTGCTGTGATTGCACGTTGAGGTGGGAAATCCTCTCAATTAAAATTAGACTGTCAGCTGATTTCTCAATGGCCTTTGCAGGCCAGAGGGGACTGGCAAGAAATATTCCAAGCCATGAAAAGCGAGGACCTACAGCCAAGACTGTGCTACCCAGCAAAGCTGTCATTTAGAGTCGAAGGGCAGATAAAGAGCTTCCCAGACAAGGAAAAGCTAAAGGAGTTCATCACCACCAAACCGTTACTATATGAAATGTGAAGGGTTTTCATGAAGAAAAACAAAAAAAGTGAACAATAAAATGGCAATAAATACATATCTATCAACAATTAAATCTAAAAAACAAAGCAAGTAAGCAGACCAGAAACAGACTCGGGTACAGCAAGCATTTGATGGTCGCCCACGGGGAGGGCGGGGGAGGGGCGGAAAAGGTGGCCGGATAGATGGGCCGACAGGGGCGGCCATGGAGCGGGCGCGGCATGCGAAGTGCAGTGCAGGGAACACAGCCAGCGAGGCTGCGGAACCCCGAACCGTGTCAGGTGGCCACCCAACGAGCGGCGAGCACTGGGGCGCGCACCTGGGGCGCATGCAGGTTAAAAAGGGATGACTAAATACCAGAAGTCAACAAACTAACACGTGAACTAAAGGGACCACGGAGTTTTCAGAGGCTGTGATGATAAAAGCCGAACAGCAGCCTTCAAAAGGCCGCTTTCTGTGGTCGCAGGGATATACGTGCGGCTGCCTAGGTTGGCGGAGAGTGGCCTCCGGGGCGGGCCTGCGGGTCCGTTTGGAGCGGATGCGCTCTCAGGGGCAGGGCTGTGCGGCGCAGAGCTAGTTGCTCGCGGGCCGGGGCGGCCGCCCACACTGCCCTGCGCAAGGCCGCTCAGTCACGGCCGTCACCCCGGGAGGCGGACCCTGTCTCTCTCCCTCAGCCCAGCCTTCCGGGCTGCTGGCCTGGCGTCCGGCGGGGAACACTGAGCCCCCTGGGGTTCACGGGGAGGCTGTGGGGGGCACCGTGTGGGGTGGGATGTGGCGTGGATGCCCGCTGCCCCTGGACTTAAAGTGCTGCCATTTTCTGGATTTTAGTTTTTTCTCCCAGAAGACACATTTTTCCTTCCTCCCGCTTCCTTTCGTGGCTCGCACTTAAAAGGGCCCCCCGATACCATGCACAGTTGGGGTGTGATGTGCCGGATGTTGTGAGTGAGCTGCTCTTCAGAGTCTCATGGAAGGGGGCAGTCGGGGGGGTGGGCGGAGAACCAGTCAAGACTCAGCGCCCCTGATCCTTTCTAGTTTCTTAGCATAAAATAAAACCGTTGGCGCCACAGGCATCCCGGGCACTTGCTGCCTTTTGAGTCAGTCAACGTGGTGGACGGCTCCGAGGCGCCAGGAACTCACCTTCCCAGAGCCACTGACGGTCAGGAAAGGGGAGCCGAGCCTGCGCTTGCTCCTCGGCCCGTCCCACAGCCCCCGGGGAGCAAGTCTCCTCACCCCGTGGTCGCGAACGAGAAAGCCAAGGCTCACGGCCGTTAGGGGTTCCCCGAGGGCCCCAGGGTGCCAGCAGGGGCCGCGGGTCGGAGCCGGCTCTGACTCGCCTTTCGAGCAGAAGCCGCTGGCGCTGCAGGCGCAGGTGGGCTTTGCCGAGTTGGGGACGGCGAAGGGCAGGGACCGCTTGTTCGTGACTCCGGGCACGGCCTCCCCGCTGCTTCCCCTGCCCTCTCCTGCTTCGCCATCGCCTACGAGCTGCTTCAGTGTATTTTATTGTCCCCGACAGTGACCACAGGGAGATCAATGTGGCCTTTCAACGAAATGGCAAAACCATTTTAAAAGTGCACTTTGTATCCGCAATGAACTGCAGAAGGAGCATCAGCCTTGAAGTGCGTCTTCCTCTCGTGAGGATGCACACGTGTTGGCGGCAGTTGACGCTGGAAACATTTTCTCACGTCGTTTGTGTGTTTTTATAAGACAATTTTTCCGGGGTGCCCATCGCATGCCGAGCGCCGTGCTGCGCGCTGGGGGGGCCATGGGCCCCGGCGCCGAGGAGGCCAACCCCGCCCACCCTCGCGGGCCTGGGGCACTGGCTCCTGCTTCGCTGTGGAGACGGCGGTTTGCTCAAGGCGGTGCAGGGCTCGGGGCGGGCCCTGGGCTTAGCTGCTCTCCCATGCGCCCCGAGCAGCCCATCCGCCCGTCCGTCTGTCTGCCCCCAGGTGAAACATCCCCGGGAAGCGGCGGCCCACAGACTGAGAGGTCATAGACTGAGAGGTCACAGACCCTGGTGGCGGGCGGGACAGCGAGCTTCACACCCTCCTCCTCCCAAAGTGACTGTTCACTCAGAGGAGCCCGCCAGCCTTTGCCGGCTCACGCTGCAGAACTTACAATTCAAAAGGCTTTTTCAGTTCACAGGAGACAAAAATTGAGAGAAAGCTGTCCCTTTTATTTGCATTTTGCAGTGATTCATCAATCATTTACGCCTCATTGTAAAGGAGAGATAAAAATTACTTGCTAAACAATTTCTTCAGCGAAAGGAAGCTGATTTAGGTGCAGCTCCGGCCGCTGGGAGCCAGCCCTGCCCGGGCCAGGCCGAGCCCTGGTCGCCTGGTGGCCACGCTCAGGGAGGGCGCACGCAAAGGGGCACAGCAACCGATGGGTTTACCCCCTCGCTGTGGCGGTGGAGTTTCAGGGAGAAAGCGCCGACGCGAAGGCAGCAGACAAACGCAGGTGAGGGCCACTGAGCCATAAAGCCGGCCCGGCTCTTCACAAACGCCAAGGTCGCGGGAGACAAAGGGAGGTCGAACCAAAGTGGGGCTGACGGGACAGGTCCCTGAATGCACTGATTCTGGGTTCCAGTCGAGTGTGGGCTGTGGCTGGGATAACAAGACACTGGAAATAGATGTGCACACACACAGAGTGCGTGTGTGCGCGCACACATGAGTACATTTGTGTATTTGTATGCATGTGCATGTGTGCATGTCTGTGCGCACATGCGCATGCATTTGGCCCAGGACTGTGCGTCCCGGAAGCATTGGTGCAGAACAGGCCCAGCACAAGTGCATCTGTGGGGACCAAGGCCGCCCTGCCCCTCCCCGCCCCCCGCTCCCCATCAGCCCTGTCCTGCAAGGAGAGAATGAGAGGACAGCCTGGGCACAGGTGACCGGAGACGCCTCGTGGGGTGGGGGGTCATGGCCCTGGGTCCATCTGGACAGGTGGAAAGGCTGTGGGCCCGCAGTGCCCTTGGCCATGGGCGCCCCAGCTGGCTCTCTCTGCTGGGACAAGCCTCATCCTGGACAGCCAACCAGTGCCCCTGATCACCAGGCAGGGACTGCGGGCGCCTCGGGGCCGCCTGCCTGCGAGGCCCGTGGCCAGTGAGCCCCGGCTGCCCCGGCTGCCCCTGCCCCCGCTGGCTCCCCTGTTCCCGTTCTTGTCTGTCTAATGTGAGCATCGCCTGGCGTCGGCCGAAAGTTTTTGGGATTTGACACCAGAGCGCGGTTGTAACAGGGAAGGTCCTTGTTCCTGAGACACACAGGAGTGCATTTGGGGGTGGAAATGCCCTATTGTCTTTCGAAGGGTTCAACGATGCTGCTGACCGTTATGGCTGTTGTGGCTGCTTGTAGAGGGAGCAGCAGAGCATCAGGCAAACGTGGCCGAGTGATGAACCGCGGGATCAGGGCAGGGGCTTTCGTTGTGCATTTCTTGCCACTTTCCTTTAAGTTCAAGTCTTTCTAAAGAGAAAGACACACTCGCGCTATAAAATAACACAGGCGCCCCACCCCAGTGCAACGGGAAGCCCCCTGTGGCGGGCAGGTGCCTCTGGTGTTGTTCCCAGGGGCCTGGGCCCAGCTCTGCACCTGCAGGCGGCTTCACAAGGTCCAGCGGGCCGAATCCAAACCGTCCGCCCCCTCTGCACTCGGATATAACAAGAAAAGTGGCGATTTGCATGCGCGTAGGTGACTCTGGGGACGGAGCCCGTGCGGGAGAGGAAGACCCTGCCCCCTCCCGGGGCTGAAGCGTCCTCCGGGCTCCTCCTGAAGTGACATCGAGCTCCGCTGAGGGGCTGCCCTTCCTTCCGGAGTTCGCTCCCTGCCCCAGAAATGGCTCCACAGGAGTCAGAGGCTGCCGTGGGGGTCTGCGGGGGCCTGCGGGGGGCCCGCTGTCCCCAGCGAGGAGAGCGCTGCCGCGAGGGGAATTGTTGGATTGGCCCTGAAACCAGTCGCAGGTGCCAGGCATTGGAAGGGGCTGTAGAGGCCGCACCCTCCTCGAGACACGTGAATCCCGGCCCGGCCAGACACCAGCTACGGACGCCTGGGCGAGCGAGGGAGTTGCTGCCCCGCGTGGCAGCCCAGCTCGCCTGCCGGGGGTTTCCTCCGGTCAGTTCAGGGAGCCCTGGGTCCGAGGAAAAGCGCCCCGTGCTCACTAGACCTCAGCGAGGGGTTCGCGGGAGCCTAACGAATAATACACCCCTGAGACCCAAAGTAAGATTGCACGTCTTCAACACTAATGTCTTCATCTGAACTTAGAAATGGGCACAGTGGCCTTCCAGGCACTGG